GTCAGGAAGAGGTGGACGCAATGGAGATGTCAGTGGAAGAAAAGGCCGCGCGACTGGAGGCGCGCAAGGCGCGCTGGGTCGAGGGGCTCAAGATGTATCGGAAATACGATCTACCGTAGACTGAGACTGTTGTGGCTGCATATAGTGACTACAATTTGTATTATTCTCATATACAACAGAGCGCTCGACGAGCAAAAAACAAGAAACAAAAACCATTCGTCGACCGTGAGGCTACGCTGCCTTCCAATCAGGCAGCTCGCACCAAGGCAACGATAAATTGTCAATTATGAGGTACGTTCCAACTTGAACGGTATGTCCTCTGCGTCCCATGCAAACAACATCAGATGCTGGTCTGTCGTCCTTACAAGGTTGACTTTCAAGAATATAATTCATGGAAACAGGCTACATGAAGAACAAAGCTACAAGATGAGTGCGCAGGGCTTACAAGGGCGGGGATACTACAAGAAGTTACGCTGCAAGCGGCATTAGCGACGGTGCTTTGGGTAGATTCATCAGATCACCTGGTCGTTGGGTCGACGTTGGCTAGGCTTGCGAATCAGCCATAGTAGTCCGGGCTACGGCCGCGTCCGTCAAACACGTCTTGTTGATGTGCCTCGCAAAGTTGAAGACATCCCCGTCGACGATGTGGGCAGAGGCCAGGGCTGCGCCGTGATTCCGTTGAAACGGGTGACAAGCAGGTCGGTGCCTTCCGTGTCGCGTGGGGCGTCCTTGCGGAGATTCTCCAAAATGCTGTTTAGGTCAGCCGTCGGGTGCTCCTCTGAGGTTATCGGGACCCAGAAGGGTCGAGAAAGTATGTGTAGGCAGTCTCGGGAATGTCAGACGGAGTAGAAATAACATAGGGACGACTCACCGTCTGGTAGATTTTGCCCAGTTTAATCCTGGGCGTAACGTTGAGGCGGGTGTACTTGCGGTTCCACTGGATGTAGAGCTGGAGGTATTTGGAGTCGACTTCTGCTATAGCTTCGTCGAGGGACAAGCCGGCGAAGTGAAGGTTGTCGTCTTTGCTGATGTAGAGCGCCTTCTTCGCCTTGTCTTGTTTGGGCGGAGGTATGGTGTTCCATGCAAACGCGAACTGAATGCATTTTAGCACGAGGAATATGCGGTTGGCACTGCTGAACACGACAGTGGAAGCCTCGTGCTCAACGATGAGCTGTATACTGATTAGTGGGGCGATTGCAAGCGTGCAAACTCACCCGGTCCGCTTCAATGAGAGACTCAAACCTCTCTTCCGTCTGGCTGGGGAGTGTGGGGTCGTTATCGAGGGCGGCGGTAAAGTCGGGTACATCAGCACGGAGATGCTTCAGCGCGGTGTACTAAATAGCGGCGCGTTAATCGAGAAAAGGTTGGAGCAATTGATTTACCCATTCTTGGTATGAATTATTGAGGTCACCGAAGACCTCGTACCCGCGGTATGCACGCACGACCGCCGCGTCTTCGATCTCTGCCGGTCCTCCATGGGTGGATCCCTCGATGACGGGAAGAACCTCGTGGGCAGGCACCGGGTCCTCCGCAATCTGGCGGCGGATGTTTTCTAGCCGTTTAGCACATGCGTCGGCCTGCGCGCGATCAGAAAACAATTATAGTATGCTGCAAACACTCACATTTTTCGTCTTTCTTTTTTTCGGGGCGGCTTAGGTTTTGGGTCGGGCACGTCGGGAGTATCGTTAGGAACGTCGTCTGGAGTACCACCGGCCGAGAGTGGAGGCGGCGGGCGAGGCTGGCGGGGCGGAAGGGCTGCATGAAGAAGCTCAAGTTCTGGCTGAAGCTGAGCCTCGATGTCGCGCGAGGCGGGGCTGTCCGTCGACAGGGCTTTTTTTGCGGTCCGCCTCAAAGGACTGGGTCAGCTCGCGCAGTTGTTTCGCGCGGTCGAGAAGTGTTTGCTGCAATACGCGGCGCGTGTTTTCATTTATGGGTGACGACATGATGTGGAGACCGGGCGCCCGGTTTGTGGCTGTGCTAATCATTCCCACACTCTGTTATTACAGCAGACGCACCTTGACTTTAGATATAATCTTTCTCCCCTCTATCTAAAGCGCCCGGTCGATATCTCCCTTATCTGTTAATCTCACAATCCATTTGAAACGAGCCTGCCTCCCTTTGGTCTCACCGCGGTTCGGGTCAAGTCTTATTCTCTGTGGACGGGACCGTCCCCTACTTCTACCGTAGAGGTTCACGCCGCGAATCGCGCGTCTCTTCCGCCTCTTCATTTCTCTCTCCCTTCTCTCCGTTTGTTCTCCCTTCATCCCCCGTCGGATTATGCTCCTCAAAACACCTTGAACGGCGAAATGGCCGAGTGGTTAAGGCGTCAGATTTAAGTCGCTTGAATCCTGATGGGTGCAAACCTGCGCGAGTTCGATCCTCGCTTTCGCCAGCCTTTTTGGTCCTCTCTTGCTTACCCAAAGTTTACTCGACAATTCTCCCGACTCGATACAAGAACCAAGGATAGACCGAGTGGTTAAGGTGTCAGATTTAAGTTTCTTCTTGATTCCTGATGGGTGCAAACCCGCGCGAGTTCGATCCTCGCTTCGGCCAGCTTTTTATTCTGCGAGGCCGCCGCTTACCAGACTCTTTTTGACAATTCTCCCCTACTGAATCAGTGCTCTGACCGCATTTAAACCCGCGCGAGTTTGATCCTCGCTTCGGCCACTTTTTTATCATCCTCTGTTTCGCTGCGCTTACCACAAGTCTTTTTCAATCGGCGGCCTTCAGCGGCCCCCTCCCTGACTTGCCCCCCTACTGAATCAGTGAGTACCAATGCTGAGAACATGTAAACACATATCTAAAACAAGGCAGGACATATATATTATAGCACATGTATTTTCTTGCAGGAATCAATTATCAAGTAGAATGAATACAGGCACGCCTAGATTTAGATGGGGCAGAATCGAAATTGAATTTTTTTGTGAATCAGGTTTTATTTCAGCAGAATCCAACATACCTACGACTCAACTGAAGCTTCAAAGCAGACCGAAATTCGGCGGTTTTGGGCTTCCTCTCACCCGTCGTAGATTCCAAATGAATATTCATGTACAACATCTCAATTAGATTTGAATTCAAACTCCTCGGCAATTAAAAGATCTAAAAGTCTATTAGTTGCTTGTGCGCTGTGATACTATAAACTTACGCCAGAAGAACTACCGCCAGGAGCCTGTCGCACTCTGACAGAATGTGCCCGTGAGCGTAGTCTCAAACAAACAAGATGGTATTTACCGGCGAGTCGGTTTGAATTCTTCGGGTTCGTCGTTGCCCCAAATACTCCCGAGAGTGCTGTTTCCACCGGGCGCCTCGCGAACACGTCTGGAACGAGTTACGTTTGTTGGAGCACTCAATGTCGTACACACCTGCTTGGCTTGATTCCGGTGCTTGTGGTGGTGTTCTCTTGCTTTTCAGCTGGGGCAACTGCGGAAACGTCGACAGCACGAGGTGATGGTTTGGTTTCTTCGGGTTCATCGTCGCCCCAAATGCGCCCGAGGGTACTATTGCCACCGGGAGCTTCGCGAACACGTCTGAAGCAAGTCACATTTGGAACGCAGGACGCAGTGTCGTACAAACCTGCTTGGCTTGATTCCGGTGCCGCCCGAGGTTGCAACGTTGACAGAAGGCTGATTGGGTAGCAACAGCTTGCGGGGGTAGTAACAGCTTGCTCCTTGGGAGGCGCCGCAGACAAGGCGTCGAGGACGTCCTCGTCCGCAAAAATGTTGGTTCGGTGTCCGCCAGGAGGATCACGCACACGACGTGTGGGTTTGAAATCCGAGGACGGTGACGCTGCGATAGATCCCGTAGAAGTGGCGGGTGCGACTGTAGACGCGGCGGGGGACGATCCAGGACCAGCATCAGAGATTTTGCCAAACTTGACATATCCTGCGATCCTCGGTTACCCAATAGGTAGATGCGCAATCATGCTCGTACGGGGAAGCTTTTGGATGTTATTGAAGTTGGTGTCCACAGTTGTGCCCGTGTACCTGATCTGATCAGCGAGATGGATAGTGCTCGTAAATAAGCGCGCACTTGAGGAACTCCATCAAAGAGCGCTTGGTGAAGACGATGCTGGTAGAATCCCAGTCGAGCATGCCCAGATTGTTTGCCCAGTCGCGCTCGCTGGACATGTTCACAGGAGAGGTTTCGGTAAAGGTAGACATGGCAATTGGTGGTGATGTTGAGGAAAGAGACGACCCATCACGGGACCGTACCCGAACTTTTGATGGCCGCCTTGGTGCGACGCTCACCGCTGACGCTGAGGAGGGCGTATAGCGCGCTGCCCTCTGCGATTTACACAGACCCCTCGAGAGCAAATGATCCTGCGGTTTGCACAACCCCCAATATCACAGATGCTCAGCGGCAACAACTCGACAGCGCGCTCCGCGTCGACCAGGCTGGCGAAATCGCCGCCAACTACATTTACATGGGCCAGATGGCCGTTCTAGGACGAGATCGCACATTGAAACCACTCATTCAAGTCGGTTTATTCAACGGAAATACAGTGATTTTATTTACAAGCTCAACGCAGGAAATGTGGGACCAAGAGAAGAAACATCTCGAGGTCATGGACAAGCTACAAGTTCAGCACCGGATACGACCAACCTTACTCTCGGACGTCGCTAAAGTTGCTGGCTTCGGCTTGGGAGCGGTCACAGCGCTCATGGGCAAGGAGGCAGCTATGGCTTGCACGGAGGCAGTCGAGACGGTGATTGGAGAACACTATGACGAGTCAGCCTCACACCTCATTCACCGATTCAATGTTGACTGTTCCTTCAGCCAGCTCAAGGAAATGGAATCGCTGCCTTCGGACCACCCCAGTATCCCATTGTTGCGAAACGTTGTACGCGAGTTCAGGGACGATGAACTCGAGCATCTGGACATTGCGGTGGAGCACGATGCCCAGCAGGCTCCTGCACATGCGTTGTTGAGCAGTGTTGTTGGCGCGGGATGCAAAGTCGCAATCGAGTTGTGCAAGAGGATCTAATAAAGACGCGCTTTTATTTCTCCAGCAATTACGACTTGTCCAATGACTGGCCCTTCCGTTTCCCGGTCCAGTCCCATTTATTCTATAAGCAGATGTAAGAGTGAATAGCAGAGGAAAGCCGAAATAGCTCGCCTGAGTCGCATGTATGGTGAGATAGAGACCGACAGGTATTATCAATAGCCCCCAGAAGGTCGACCGTACGGTCCTGTTTGTCCAGCGAAAATGCTTGAACTGTTCTTCTCTCTGGACAGAAACGCGTGAGCGAAAGAGCGGGTATGTTGGGATGAATTACCATGAGCGATTGCCGCTCAATGGCAGCGTCCTGGACCTGTGGGCGGGTGAGGGGCTGACTCGGAGAAAAGCAACATGCTCAACCTTGACATGTGCTATTCAAGGCGGTCAGAAAGCAGTGAGAAGAAATAATAGGATTCACTGACCGTGGTCGGTCATATTCAAGTGGCGTTGAGTTGACAAATGTTTACTGTTCTACACTTTGCCTTTCTCCACCATGGCATACAATCGAGAATGGGACCAGGGCAAGGCCTGGGAGACCGGGCAGTCCTGGAACGCCCCGAACGCCCACGCCAGAGAAGATGATTATTACGCCGAGGGAAAGCGAAGAAAAATGAATGCTGGAGTTCGTTGCCCCAATGCTGTTCTGGCTCTTTCTCTCAATTTCACATAGGGCTACGAGGCCTCGCATGCATATGCAGACAACTCCTATGATAATTCTTCGTACCAAGGACGCTCCGACACATCCCAGGACCACACGCAGCGAGGTGGCGCTCCATTCGCCAAAAAGCGTCTGCAACCCTCGGAGCCGAGCCCTCATGTCATTTTTCTGGGCCTGGACCCCGACTTCACCGAGGCCGATGTCTGTCGAGTCCATCCTTCTTGCCATTTACTGAAGCCGGCTTCCAGCTCCAGAAATACCTGACCTCCAACGGCTGTAGTATCGAAACCGTCACAATCATCCGAGAGAGATCATCAGGCACTTGCCCATTCGTATCCTGATTCTGGACCTCCATTGACGTTCTCCGCGGTTGAATTTTACAAGGTTCATCCAAGGGCTTTGGTTTTGCTCAATTCCCGACAATTGACCATGCCCGCTCATTCGTCGATCCTCTCTTTCCGTTCATACAAGTCCCACCCCCGGCGTCCCATGGCGCATCGGCCACAGCCGCATTCTATAAAGCTCTTGAGACCGGTCTTCCGCACAATGGTCGCAGAGTTAAAATTGACTTTTCTCAAAGCGCCACGCCTCACGAAAAGGGAAGGATGAACCGCGGCAACATGAACGACGGCACCCGCGACATCGGCAGCGCCCAAGCTGCCGTGTTGCTTTTCCGTGGCCTTGATCCCCTTTCAGGCCCTCAAGCAATTCACCAGGCGATGCTTGCTTCATCTGGTGTCGGGAAACAAGGTGCAAAGGGAATGAAACGCATCATCCTAATCAAGGACAAAGTCACCATGGCCAGTTTTGGCTTTGCGTTTGTCGAATTTGTGGATATTCAGGTTCTTGTCTATTCTTCGCGCAAGCAGTCATTGTGTCTGATTTTCTTTGCAGTCGGCTTCAGTTGTTCTGGCCGCCACCATGTCGCCACAAATCCACCCTTCGGGTTTCCGTATTTCGGATCGTCCCGTCGCGGCCTCATTTGCGCATCCATACTCGTTTCAGCCGATTGCGGATCTCATGATTCGAGATGAGGCTTGTATTTCTTCGTCTGTTCATCTCGGAGGAGAGGAGGGCACGCTGGTCCGGTACTGGGATGAGGGCTCTACAATAGCTCAATTGGAGTTCAACGTGGAGCAACCTATACAGCAGCAGGAGGCCGCTCAAACTAAAGAGAAAAAAGAAAAGAAGAAACGTGAGCAAGTCGCGGTTCAAAGTCGACTTGTGCTAATAAAACTGCTATGCAGACGCCGAGCCAACCGTTCGTAATGCCCCGGCGGCGCCATCAGCACTGCCGATATCGAGCAAGCCCGTAACATTAAATTTTAACAAGGGATTGGGGAGAGCTGGCCCTGGTACGACAGCATTCGCGCTGCGGACCCGTAAACTTATCGTTTGAATAGTGCCTGTCAAGGCGTCTTTGGGATTTTCCCTGGACGACGGGGCGGCGGGAGACTCGCCTGCAGAGGACGAAGCCGACGATAATCCAACCAAAGGTCAGTCTCGCGCGTCTTTACGATTCACCCTCTCACTCTGCTTCGTAGCTCCCACTGGGAAAAAGGTTGCACCGTTGATCGCGAGTAAGAAGGTACTGTGTCCAAACACTGAAAGATTTAGACCCTCCTCCTTGTCACGCTCTAACCTTGACGTCACCTTCAGACCGCAAACAACATCAACAAATGGAATCAAGTGCAGGAAGAGCTAACGAACGATACGAGTGCTGTCCCGCCGTCTT